TGGCTATCTCAGCTTTCGAACATTTTGAAACAATGCCAAATATATAATTCGATGTAGAATTAAATAGGCTACAAAATGAAATAAAAGTTTTTGTGGCAATTGATTTTTTTATCAAGACATATAGACAAAATACTGAAAAATGGAGAAAATTTTATATGCTACAAATACTGTATTTTGACATTTTCGCTTCTATATTGAGGCTAAGGAGACATATCATATATATAGTTTTGTAGAGCAAGTTAAGATCTATCTATTGGTATATAGATCAATTGCAAATATCAAACATTTTTTAGAAAAAAAATACAGACATGAAGATGGTTTGGCACTGAAAATAGGCAAAATATAGTGTCAGTAGTCGATGTTTAAGTCCAACAATCTCGCTGCTCGAACGTTTTAAAGGAATGACTAATATACAATTCAATGTAGAATTGAATGGGCTACAAAACAATACAAAATTTCTTTTGGTGATTTGTTTCTCTCGTAGACATAAAGCCGAAATACTGAAACATGAACCAAATTTTATCTGTTGAAAAATCACAGTTCTTAAAATTTTTCGATTCTAAATTAAGATCAGAGAGAAGTACCATATATACAGATTTGTAGAGCAAATCAAACTCTATCGATTGGTATATGACTCAATTTGAATAGTGAAAAATTTTCGACGGAAAAATTTCAAAAAAAGTATAGGTCAATTTCTCACACCTTTTTGCGCTATTTTTGAGGATATCTGTGCTCGGACAGCCATAATGAACCAAAGGTAAATCATTAGTTCGTAATATTTTAGATTCATCTATGGTAGATGAGGCCTGAAATACTTAGGGGATCAACTGCAAAACCGGTTGACCCCGATGGTTTTCGATATCCGAAAATATTTGATTTTTTCGTGGAACATCTCTTAAGTAGAATAGTCTCTGAAATATCTTTTTAGTTTACGAAGGAAATGAATCTGATACAAATAAAGATTTTAGATGACTATTTGCTAACTGTTTGTTCTAAGACTAGCATATTAATCCATTTTTAGATTATGCCACTCCTTTTCTGAATTCTATGGCAACAATATATCTAAGTTAAACTTTTAATCAATTCATAAGGTACTGGATTGAATATGAATGACTAAGATGTGATACAAATCTATGAAGTATTATAAATAGGGGCCTACAAGGTAGTGATGTCACCAGAAAATTAATGGTGATGAAGCTGAGCCCCCACTACGCCAGTCTGTTGCAACCTCCTTCAGATGCCTACCATGTTCATATGCAGCACTATATTCCTAAATACTAAAGCAAACAATGATGCGAGTCTTTCTGATTACGTAAGCACGTCAATTTTCGTAGATTTATAATCAACTATCTTGAATTACTTGAATACCATAAAAGAACAAAAGAAACAAGTACTTATTTTAACATAACTCGACTGTTTTTGTGAATCTCTGAAAAACTATCAATGAATTGCTCGAAGTTTATATTTGTATCACGCTCAATAGCCTATAGGCAAAGATCACTCAAGCGGCCGTCAGTCATCGAATTGCGAACTGTTGTTTTAATTAATTTCATTTTTGAAAATGTACGCTCACATGTTGTTGAAGATACTGGAATTGTTATTGCAGCTTTAATAACATCAACGTTAGCTTTATAAATGATTTTTTTTTATTTTGATTTGGGAAATTTGTCCAGTAAGCTCTTATTCAGGGTGATAGAGCTCAAAAGTCCGATGATGGGGTTGAGCCACACCTGGCCTCAGCCTAGCGACGCCACTACTACAAAGCAGTCACACGTCATCATCACGGTCATGCAAGACCATAACTACATTTAATAAATATTCACAGCCGTCATCAGACCTTTCATTGCTATAACTATGACAAAAACTAATGCTATGCAGAAATATAAGATTTTGAAATTTTCAACATAGTTTACCCAAAAAGTATGGCTTCTGGATGAACTATAGCCAGTTTTGACGGTGTTAATCTACAAGAAAGAAAGTTTAAAAGCGTTATTACTGAAGTCTTTACGGAATACAAAAAACTCTTGTGACCGCATAGTGATCGTGAGTAAATCATCATGGTTGCACTGATCTCTAACCGTGAATACTCGTAAATCATATTTTTTTCTGTATACTACTCAATAGAGAATCTACCTATTAGTGATGGTTTACCGATCTATTAATTTAAGCGTGTCATATTCCTAGTGCTATTAGCAGTAAGTAGAAAGTGATGATGATGTGATTATTGCCATACGACAATAAATAGCCAATAGATAAGCCAACCATGTATCGTTGCTAAATAGAAAGCTTTTCAATTATAAAAAGCATACTATTTTCTTAGTAAGCAAAAGTCCAAGTAACACTAAGTGTGGCAATCAAAGATAACATCACAATAAGTCAAATCACGAATGATATGAAGTTATTTATTTACCAAAACGAATATGGGGTATTACATGATTTTTACATTTTTTTTTTCAAGATAGAGATATTTTATGGAAACTTTGTAGAATTTCTTTATTCGCTGAAAATCGTTTCCACCATATCATTCATTAGTTCTGTGAACACTTTTAATGTTTGTCCTTTATTGGCTTTGAGCCATTTGGCAATTACACCATCTTTTTTAACCATATCTAAAACTTTATTTGCAAGGCCATGTTTACGTTTAAAGTCTTTTTGGATACGGCGACGTTTTCGTTTCTCTTGTGCTTGTTTATATAAAACATATCCTAGTACACTTGATGCGACTAAAATAATCGATAAGAGTAATGTAGTAATTATATGAAACCAATATCGATCCCAACATGATGAATGGCATTTCTGGTTTGTGGTTCGTCTATTCTCAGCATCATATGAAGATACTTTCGAAATGATACTTGTATCACTCATATGTGTTATATTTATTTATTGGAAAACAAAAATTTTTATTTGAAAAGTATTTTCAAGTGAATAGAATAAATGTTACTATGGAAAATTAATAAAATATTTGTAAATAATGAAAAGTATACTGTTTTAAAAATCGTTATAATTTCTGTCATTGTTTCGGATTTCATAGACTTGCGGTGATCCAAAGAAATTCAAGACAATTAGCTGTCGTTAAAACGAAACTTTTCTTCAAACGGATATAAATTCTTAAAAGAATTTCTCTTGTCATCAATATTAACAAAAAGCTGGATTCAGTTTTTCACCCAAATATTCGAAGAAAGTGAAAGAAAAATCGATTTACTTTAAACATAAAAAAAAAGGTGATGTTGAAAACTATATTGTTATTCATCAGCAATTAATAATTGTAGTTTTCACCTCAAAAAGTAAAGCATTGTATAATTAATACAAGAAGAAGTTGTTTCAATATCTTCTATCAAGAAATAAATTATAAAACTTGTGTACGAAGCTTATACTCTTATTGGTACAAAAATAAGATTTTTTTATTTGAATTTCTAAATGAAAAAACTTTTTGTACAGGGTAATATTTTCCAAAATTTTCTTTGAGCTGTATTGATGCACATCAGTCGATTTTGTACGTCTGCTTTTATCCTTCTATTTTTATCGAACATTCTTCTTGCAAGAGAAAATTTCAACATCTACTTTTTTGTTATTCGAGACATTTAAATAAAAAAAAAGTAACGAAAGTGGCCTTCTTCTCGAAATTGGGTTTCTTATTCTACCAAGAGTCACTTCTGGTATCAAAAGTCGATCGCTGTTTTAATTAGACCGCTAGACTTTATTTCGACTGTACACACCTCACTAAAACCTATAATATTTTCGATCTTCTATATCATGATACAAGACAGTCATCATATGGAAATTTTCCCTTCTTTTCTCAGCTTCTTTAAGTTGATTGATTACACCAACTGAAAGCTCTGTCCCTTTTTCTTTTAAATGACATTGTTCACTTGGTATGCACAATATGAAAACACTCATGACAAAATTCCTTTGATATTGAGCTGTGAAAGCAGTGATTCACTTGGAACTATGTATCATTCGATAGACTTTTCAAAGATTTACAAAATTATACTATTGCGTTCGGCTTGATTCATGACTAAGTTAGTTTAGTCAAATAATACAATGTTCATTACTATTAAAAGTTACCTATTTTTACTGATATTTGACGGATTTTGGTCTGAATAATCAGGCTTGCGATCAAAACAAATCATATATACAGAATCAACATAAAAAAAAACGACTCGATCTATATTTATCACAAAATCCTTCGATAACTTTTACTTTCGTCTGAAAATGCCGTCCTGATCATCTTCAGGGTTAAATCAAAAGATAAAATTAGTTAAAATCAAAGCATATTTATGATATACTATCAGAGAAGTTAAAATAATTCAGTTTAGAAAATGTTAAATCAATGAATAGACTCACATGATAATCATTTTTGTAGTTGATAAGGACTTGCTAAAATTTTATTTTTTCGAAAATGTTTGCATTTAGAATAATTTTTCAACTAATTTATTTGATTCATTTAAAATTGTTATACTGAAAAAATTTATTTGTATTATCCGATATATCTTCAATACATGACTTCTTTTCTCTGAATGATGGTACATATGAGACATGTTATAGTAAGCGAGAAATATCATTTATTTTCTATTCCGTTCCGTTAATTCAATCACTATTTTATCGTGCTATACACGTTGATTGAATCGTTTAGCAAGATCTTGAACACAACATCCTTTCTTTCGATGAACTTTGACATGTAATTTTGAGTTTAGCCTAAATTTAGAATCAAATCAATTCATATTTTTCTATATCCCTCTTATTCTGGCTCTGCTACATCAATAATAGCGCTGACTTGTTGATTGACACCTACAATGGAAACCTTTCGTTGTATTAGTTACTAAAGTTCATAAAATTTAGACTATTTAAAAACTCTAATAGAAATCTTAGATACATAGAGTGCTTTGGACGGTTCTAAAACATTCCAAAATAATCTTCGGACTGTTATTACTGACGTGCTTTTTTTCCATTGCTATAACAAGGTACTCAATAATCTTTAGTTCTCCTCCCATCCCTAGTTGCTAGGATCTGGGAAGGTGAAAAACGCAAAAACCTCAATTTGCACTTACACTCACTATTGTCTTCGAAAAGTTGTGAGCGTCACCAAATATTCATTTTATTATTAAGTAGAAAATTTGTTTCAAACATATTATCTATAAAAAAAAGAAAAGATTATCCTAAGATAGTCATTCATCAATTTAGTTACACCAAAAAATTATTTTTTTTCATTTGAAACTCATAATTATAATAACTTGACTAAGAGAAAAAAAACTATCTTAAATAAAACCTCTCGAAAAAAAAATATTGAGTCGCGATCTTGTAAATCACGCTTATCTCTTGTACAAAAAAATGAGTGTAATGGTATCCAATGTATACCATATCGTCGTTTTCTTTCTCGTTCTGTCATCAATCAATAAGCAAAAAAACTATCAACTAATTGATGATACCTTAAAATAATCTATTCGTTAGAAACCTTAATAGATATTTTTAATCAAGTACCTTGTTTGATTGACGTGTTTCAAATCAGTGCATTATTTTTCGTTATGGTTTAATGTATTATTTGTCATACTAATAAAATATAAATTTTTTCTTGTTTCGTTTGCTTTCAATCAGAATTCATTCAACCGAATCATGTATGTAAATAAGTGAACTCGATATGATGAAAATGCAACAGAATAGTGCATCATAAGTTATCAATGATTCATGTACTTGATTTTGTATGTTATTTTTTTGAACCAGTTTAAAATAATTTATTCTGAGATAAAATAACTAATTCATATAGTCAGTCCTCATACATAATTAAGGTAAGAACTTATTCGAAGACAGTCATTGATCATACATTGATTTGTTTTATTTATTAACGATAATAATATCAAATTGATGACATTGTCTTAATTAATTAAATAATTATTTTTATTAGAATATAATTGAACCTTTGATTTTTTTTCTAAATTATATTAGATTATTGAATGCAGTTGTTTTTTTTTACTTAGATTTTGTTGTAAAATATATTTTTCAAAAAGTTAATATAACAAATTATCTTATCAATTTATAAATATGTCTCTAATAACAAAGAAGGATACTCAGGCAAAATATATCAAAGTGATTTGTTGTTTACATACAATAGTTTTGTTTCTTATCATTATATTTATGATACCGAAGCCACAAGATCACTTTCTTTTATATTTATCTGCCAATTCACCAGTGTTATATCTGATCAATGCATCGTTCAAAGATGAACTAATTAATGAACACTTAGCGAGTTATTCTCGGATGTATGATAGTGCATCACGTGGTTGTAATACAACGAGATCATTAAATAAAGAACAAGAACAAAATTTCCCTATTATATCGAAATTACTTATAACACTTAGTCAACAAATTGTACCTTATCCAAACGAATATTTTCATGGTCGAGGTATTGTTCTTACTGTTGGACCACTTCAATTAACATTAGCAAGAGTCAATCTAAGAATGATTGAACACAGTGGTAGTCAATTAAATGTTCAAGTAAATATAATTCCATTTAGACGTACATCAAAATGAATTTTTTTTTTGTTCTACACGAAAACGTGATAAAACAAGTAACGAATGACTGAATTAGTGATTAATCAAAACTTTCGTACGATGAAAAATTAAAACGAGTGTTGCATGTTTGATATGACAAAAAAATTGAGAACTATGTTTCAGTGATGGGATCGGTTCGTGTTTTTTTTTGCAACCGAACTAAATCGAACCGAAAAAATCTCAAACCGAACCGAACCGATTAAAAAATAAAGAAAAAAAAGTTTATCAGTTTTAATCTTTTTCTCAGAATATTCACTTACAACAATTTATTGAAGACCTGCTTATAACGCTTTCGATAGTTCTAAGAGTGACGTAGAAAAACGAGCTGCATAGAATGTTAAAAACATAGGTATATTCGTTTTTATGTTACAAATATATTCCCATTGGAAAAGCCTGTAGCGTATTTTTAGTGGCTAGCCAATCTTTTTGTTAATCAAGAACGACTCACTGCGTTTTCGTTCGTCGTTCAGTATAAAGGGCACAACTTGTTTCAACTAGCAGGTTATTATTATTCTTTGAAGGACGTTCTGTGAAAATGTTATATAGCGCAGGTTTTGAGAAATAATTTATATATGTCATAATTTCTAACCATTACTCTGTATTTAAGGGACAGGTTAGTTAAAATTTTCTATCAAAATACTCGGAATCTTCATATTAGAAAAGTATAACTAGCTTTCTGAAGAGTATAAACGATAGAATTATGATGAAAATAATTGAGTTATTATTATTAATGGAGTCATCTTTTCACAATATTCATCTAAGAATATGAATTTCAATCAAGTATCACAATCTGACAGAAAGAAGATGATCATATTTCTAACTAAACTCTGTACTTTTTAGGACTAATATATATGTTTCGAAAGAAAACTCTGAATAGAAGTTTTAAGTCGAAGTTTTCTCTACTTTGTATCAACTAGGGTAAAAAATCACCAATTATTCAGTAGCTTCTCCCAATAAACAACGATCTTAGAAATCATAATCATCATTGTTTAGGTATATTTCTCTAGTGACCGAAACCAAAGATCAATGATTTCAATATGAGTTTTCAACACTAATAAAAGAAGCGAAAATGAAGGATGCTTTTACGTGTCAAGAGTGGTTTCAATTTTCAGAGCTGATAGAAGAGAAAGACAAAACAGTATACAATTCGTATATTTGATTTATTAGAACAGCAGCGGAACTGTCTTGGACAATACCCCAGCAGACAGACATTGCGATTTTTGAACTAGTTTTGTATATACAGGGAACAAATTACTCAATTTTTTTTGTCTATATGAGTTCCTACTTGATCATCAAATATATGAAACAAAGAAAAGCTGGTTGCGCAATCGTTGTGGGACCAAAATGTGACATACAATGTAGTCACTATTGTTAATCACAGGAAGATTTTTTTGAGATACATCTCTTCACCATAGTTCTGCTTGGCCCTTTAAAAATGCAATAGGTAAGTAATTCATATATTATAACGACACGTTGTTGGTATAGAGTGTGTGATCGCATATCAAAAAAAATCGTCTGCCACGGTCTGATGAAGGAGTGACTACAGCTCATATTTCACAAAAAATGCCTCAAAAACTTGAAATGTTGCTCACAAGCGAACAAAAACTCATATCTTAGGCGAATATTATAATCGAGTCTCACATGAATAAAAAAAAGCTGAGTAGTTTGTTCCTTTTTTTGTACAAAGTTAGCACAAAAACTGATCTGTTTGAATATTGTATGATTAATAATGAAAATTATCAAAAACTTCTATCCAACATGTCCTAATATCACTGTATACAAGGTGTCTTCATCTATTGAGCTCCTATTTCACAAAGACTACACCATATACTATTTGTATCTCTTTGTTTTCGATGATCTAGTTTGATAGTGATCAGACTTCTTGAGTTTATCATTTTGATCGTAAATGCTCTTTCATTTATAAGTTTTTTATTTGAGTGATGATTTCATGAGATTTCTATTATTATTCTTGATGTCTTCGAAAGAACAGAAAAAATCACTTTCAATCTCAACCATGGATACAATATGTCTTAATTTGTTACACACAAAGAAACATCAAGATAGTATTGTTCCTTCAAATCAATTTCAAAATAAATTTGACCTTTTCTCTTTTAGATATGGTATTCATCAAGTCAAATCTCAGAAAATAGAATGATGAGCTTGCTTAATAAGGCATCAAAACTCAATGTCAGCATCTGTTGTTTTGACAGAGCTCAATGTAGAACTCGTCGACAAATCTGGAAACTTAATTCTACTCATGTTTACAAACCTCGTACAGGCAATCTATTGAAAAGTTTTCCTTATAAACCGGCAGCAATTGTTAGTGCTACTTTTGCTGAAGTACTATTTCTCGATTCTGATGCATATGTTACACGAGATCCCATAGATCTTTTTGTTTCCGATCCAATGTATCTCAAATTTGGTGCTCTTTTCTTTCCTGATGCTTATATAAGTCGACAACATCCATCTGTATGGAATTTGCTTAATACAACTTGTGGTGAACATGAATATGAATTGGATAGTGCTACAATATTAGTTGACAAAAAACGTGTATGGAATGGAATTTATATGACAAAATTGATGAATGATAATCATGAACTATTCTATAAAGTAATCATTTGTTAATGACATTAATCAGAAAAGATTTACATTTGTTTTGTTGCAGTATGTTACCGATGGAGACAAAGATACATTTCGATTAGGTTTTCGTTATATGGATGTAAAATATTATATAGTGATGATACCATGTGCTGTAAGTTATCAAGTATTCTATTCTTGATGACAAAATATGATGTCCATTGTTAATTTTTGAATATCTTGAAAACAAAAGTAACTAGAATCCTGTAGGCTTTACCATTGGAAAGAGAAACGTAGAGAAAATGACAGTTTAATGAATTGTTTGAATTATGGGTTAATCAAGCAGGACATTTCTCTATGGATTTACACAAGATCAATTCTTCTAGTTTATTCCATACGAGAGTTACAATGAGCTTACTGAAAACTTTGAAAGCGGTCAACTGATCATTGATCATTCGAAAGTTTTATTGAATTCAATGTATTACTCTACACTGACTCCTATCGTAGTATCTATTTTTAGTGTCAATATGGTCGTAAGTAGCTAGATCATGATTTTTGTAATTCAGTCGATGCAAAGCTTGTAACATTATATGAGACATTTTAAAGATATTGTCTTTCTCATGTCAGGTCATTTCAAAACTAACAAAAAATAACATCATTACACTCAGCAAAGACGAATACATCGAACTGAATACAGTTGAAAGCTACCAATGATCATTTGGCTGATTACAAGGCTTTCAGTAAAATATTTATAACTCCTGAATGGAATAAGCTAGAAGAGTCGGTCTTGCGTAGGTCTAAAGAGAAATGTTTTTGCTGTTGATTTCCTAAAGCGAAACTCATAGGTAGTTGAGGAAGGTTTTTATAAAACTTCTGATCAAAATCTATAGCAATAACTCACCTGAACGACTGAAACATAGTCCAAATAATTCAGTAAAGTGTTACTTTTCCATGTCTCTTTCCGATATTGTAAACTGCAAATTTTCAGCTACTTTCGTTCTCTAGATATTTAAAAAAAAATTGATATGCATTATATTTTGTCGTTAACAATAGTTATTTTCTGATTTAAACTGTTTTTTTCTTATTATTCTTAGACTGGTTCATTCGATGGTACTCGTTTTTGTGGTTGGACTCTTTGTAAAACAGATAGTCTTGCACAACATATCTACATTAAGTATGAATATTATATGTTTTTATCTTTGATTATTATACTTCTTCATGTTTTCTTCTGTGATTTAGTCATGTTCATCTTTTCAAATATGAACGTATCAGCTACAACCAAGCTAATTTAGGTTATACTCGTATTGGTCTTGGTGATCCAAATAACAATTCGTTTTTCTTTGCTCACTGTCGTTTACCAGGAGCATCCACCAGTTGTTTTCATATTGTTAAGAAACCTAATCCACAAATCACTGATAGTGTATGTTACACAGGTGGAATCCAATTAGAAGACATTGAGGATCATCAATATACGCTCAATGAATCTTTGTTATTTGAAGAATCGAGAAACAATCGAATATTAATGAGCAAAACCAATAATTTGATGCCTCAGTTTGTTGATAATTTGCTGAAATTTCACTCGTAAATATTCGTTTTCAACTATACAAAAACCAGAATCAAGTGGCAATCAGTCAATCATAGAAAAATGAGATAAACAATTCACAAACATATCTATTGATTTTTGAGTCTAAAAATATGTCAATTTTAAGAGATAATGTAAATGTAAAAAACAATATTATTAAATTATAGTGTGATTTTAACAAGATTAAGTTCTGCTACTGATTTTCGGAATATAAGTTTTTCTTTAATATATCATCTTTCAAAAAAAAATTTTTAACGCTAGTTAATTTTATATTTCAATTTGAACTAAGAAATCTTTAACAAAGTTGGAATGTAAACATGAAGATGGTATTGAACCTTCTTACATGAAGATGTCTTTTGAGAAACCTTTTTTGTTTGTGTTCAAAATGTATTAGATAACTTCAGATAAAATTATAATTCATTGAATATTCTACTTCAAAATAATGACGGTCAATATTGTTTCTACGTGTTATGTTAATTGCTGGAAACAAAGTAAATATGTATTAATTTGAAGTAGTCGAACACAAGAATAAAGCTTGAGATTTTATTCAAAAAAATGAGATTCATAAACAAATATATTAGAAAGTAATACGTAGTAATTGTATAGAATTTCCATCAGATATTCTCATATTATTTTTCAGATTACACAGTTGACTTAGATAACTTAAAATAAAATAAGTGTAATGAGATACAATTGATTTTGAAATATACAATAAGTTTTACGAATCATTAATCGACTGAATTAATTATTTTGTCGTTTTCAATCAAACTTGGAATCAGTCGAATTTTTTCCATCAACTTAGAGCAACTAGTTGCATTAA